ATTATAAAATTTCATCTTTTTTTTCGTGATCATCAAATTGATGCCGTTCTATTATTAACATCTGTTACTTGATACGTAAGCAAAGTAAAAAAATTTGACAACAATATCGCCTTTAATATCTTCTCTTGTTTTTCACTAATTAGAGAGATAAAAATTAAACACTTGTCTTGAGGGCTCATTTGGCCTCATTGGCTCAGGGTGCTTGTGCCGGGAATCTGATTCGTAGGTCCCCGGTTCGAATCCCAGCCATGAGGTAAGGTGAAGTTTAGATACTTCGGCCCGAAAAAAGTGTGTTTCACTTAAGCAGCAACCCGGCCTTTAATCCCTTTGTATCAATTTGATATTCGTATCAAGGCGAACAATGAGAGAGCAAAGACTAGGAACACTGCCGAAAATGGAACGCATGCAATTGTTACCTGTTCAATTGATAAATAAAAACAGTGCAAATCTAAAGCAAATCTAAGCAAGTTAAAATAAAAAAAAAATAAAAATACTAAGGGAATGTTACAATTTCAAGCGATTCATTGCAATATTAGCTGAAGTTTCCATCATCATGGAAACATCAGTAGGGTGTGGTACGAGTCTAGTCCTTAACTGAGACGAATAAAGACTCATCACGGGCAATGTTTGTTCTACAGACACACTTGCCGAGAACAGTTCGTTCTACCCATTTCTGATGATGATGATGATGAATCTTCTTCTACTTTCTTTAACATCACACACCTTATCAAAACATTCATATTACCTACATAAATGTATGTATGATGTAATTATTTTTCATATTTAGCTACAATGAATGTTATATTTATCATCCATAGCCAACCTTCAATCATAAAAATGCGAAAAAAAAACTTTCATCAGAGAAAATTTATGAGAAATGAATTTTTATGCAAGTCATACTTTTTATTTGTTAGTCATACTTATAAATATTATTTCAGTTAAGNATGATTTTATTTATCATAAAAGTACAAATTAATTTTATGTTTTATGCTTCACTCAAGCATAAATATTTTACTTTTATCAATTCCTTTATCTCTTTTGTAACCTTGACAACAAATCCATGTTGCGTAAGTCCTTATCAACTGTAAAGTGTTGAATCTCCAAAATATGTAAGACCAAATCGTTTTTCTCGCGTATCTTAAGACCTGAATAAGACGTCAGACGAGTTGTGTAAGGATATTCACAGAAAAAACTTCCATTTACAGATACTCGAATGCCATTCGACTCGAAACCTAAAGCGATCTTGAATATCTTTTCAAATTCAAATGGAAATCCTCCGTAAGTCTCTGCATCAGCTAAATTTAATCTAAAATGTCTCAGTCGGTTGAATGTTGTTAACTTAAGAACAAAGAATTGAAACTTACACAACATTATCGTTAACTGAATTGGTTCGGAAAACTTTCTTCACAGAAAATCTCACATCCATGTGAAAACTTTGCATTTCTGTCTTTCCAACAAGAAATTTCAATGTGAATGATCCGTTCGGATTCCCACCAGCGCTTCCTTTTAAAACAATGACATTTCCCTGACAAAATGGCGTTGGAACATCATTCGAGAATCGCAGATTTGGCAACAAACGTGTTTGATAAACTGGATAAGAAAATGGAAAAACTTTTCGATGATCAAATTGCGTGACTTTCTCAACATCGTGCACAAGCTACAACAAACAAAATTAATTTGGAACTCAACACAAAGATTGAAACTTCTTGCCTGACAAGATATGATGCGCTTCACTGATGATCGGAAAATGTAATCACAGAAATGAATGCTATTAATACCGATGTGGAAGCGATCGACTCCAATAAGAATATAAATTGTAAAAGCCTCTCCTGATAAAGAAATTTATTACTTTTCGTTATCTTCCCCATTGCATAACTAACTTTATGATGATAAGTTCTGATTTAAAATATTTTCACCTGACTTTAGTGGATTTTTCACGTTCGTGAACATTCCGCTTGCATTTTCAGCAGCTCCAAACTCGCCATGAATTTTAGTATTTCGAATGATTTGTCCATTCTCACCGAAAACAACATTCATGTGGAAGGGAATGTTCCGTGGGACGTCGAGTGAATCGTCTTCACTGAGTAAATTGAGCGTGAAATTCCCGGCAGTTTCCCTAATTTTTCCGCCTAAGATAACGACATGTCCGAACTCAAGATTGTTGTGAAAATAACCCGTAAACTTCACCATGTTCAATTGATGACAGTTTAATCGAAACTGAAATCGTTTTCCTGATTTTTATCGAAAATATTTTCATAACAAGATAAGATTGCGATAACGTCGTTAAATAAATTTGTTTGTATTTTTATCATCTCGTCAATGACAAAAATTCAAACATCGATTATTTTACAATAAATTCAATCAGCTATCATTGCAAATTAACGTCTCGATGTCTGAAGACGTCGATTTGGCAACTGGCAGCTGCACATTAATGATAATAATTAAATATTCACTAGACGAAAAATGTTTTAAGTATTCGAATTTTATTTTCCAATAAAATGCTGTAAAGATATTTTGATGTCTTACGTTGTTGAAAAGCATTCAGAATTGATCATTGCGACGAAGACAAAAGCGAATGAAAATGAATTTTTGTCTGCTGTTATCGAAAAACTGTCACGTACTTTTCATCCTTTTCCCTCCACCGACCCAAGCATTCGTTTATTCATCTTAATTTTCATTTATTCCGAATCCCCACAAAAAAAGAAGATTCTTTGTGTGTGTTTGCGTGTTCATTATTTCGATCCCATATCAAAGAGACTTGTTGTCTTCTTCCTTGTTATTAAATGTACCTACGTATGAGGGGGTAATATGAACTTGGAAGATCTTCTTAATTTTCTACGTGTCAAGACTTAAATTTATTACACGGAGACATTCAGAGAAAGCAACATGAACAACTCGACATCATTCCTCAACTTACATTAAAACCTATCGATGTTAAAAAAACTTTTAAAAGTTATTTTGAAAACTTTAATCAGTCGAGGGAAAAACTAGTAGAACAATGAGAGAGCAAAGACTAGGAACACTGCCGAAAATGGAACGCATGCAATTGTTACCTGTTCAATTGATAAATAAAAACAGTGCAAGTCTAAAGCAAATCTAAGCAAGTTAAAATAAAAATACTAAGGGAATGTTACAATTTCAAGCGATTCATTGCAATATTAGCTGAAGTTTCCATCATCATGGAAACATCAGTAGGGTGTGGTACGAGTCTAGTCCTTAACTGAGACGAATAAAGACTCATCACGGGCAATGTTTGTTCTACAGACACACTTGCCGAGAACAGTTCGTTCTACCCATTTCTGATGATGATGATGATGAAAAACTAGTAGTTATCTGCTTATAATTTCACTCGAAGCGTGACAGAAACTTTTTCATTTTCCACATTCTTAACCAGGGATTGGAACTTGAATAGAAAGTTGGAAGTTTAAGATTGAAAACTTTTTCAGAACTTTGAATGTTTTAACAAATTAAAATCAATATCCCATCCAAACTCAACTTTGATTGTAAATTCAAACCACCTCCCATCCCTGCCTTTCATTAAAACTATAACAATGTAAAAATATTCATTGAATTGAATTTAATATTAAATTTATTTAATAATAATAATTCCAACATACTTGAACAATCTTTAAGGTCTTCAAAAAGGATTTTGTGGGTAAAAAAAATGAACTTCAAATTACTTTCTTTAATAAACTTGTTTATATTGTAATTCAAATGACTGTCGTGGTGGTCTGTGGATAGTTTTTCAAATCAATAGACACACAATTCCCCTTATGCGAATGAAACAAACGACACCTGGACCGGAAGTTAACGATACATTACGTAAAGTGCGCACATGTTCTTATGTGAAATTTGTTTTTTCCGAGCACACGTCTAGTCTCACATTGAAATTGATTTAATTCACCTCAAATGGTTGTTAAAATAGAAACAAAACTTAAGTGTTTGTATCATTTATAACAGGAAGAGCAATAAACTCTCCGTTATTGAATATTTTATAACTCTTTCCAATGTCCGAAAAGCATTTGTAAGCGTCCTTCGACTTGAATGTTTTCGTTTTTATTTTTTATAAAAAAGGATGATGCAATAAATATTTCAATGAATAATTTAAAAACGAGATTTTTTTATGCTTAGAAGTTATGTAGTGAAATTTATTCATGACATTTTTTATCATTAAATTCTCTTCGTGTTAGGTTTTCATAAGCATTTATAATCCTTAACAGCTGCTGTAAGAATTGCGTTGGGATATCAATTGGTTTGTGGGTGAGTTGCTACAAGTTTTATGTAGACTTGTAGCTGTTGTTGATGTAAACATTCAATGATGTTGACATATTTAAAGTTCAATGCGATGTATTTACGATGCTTACAAGAAAAGCTTTCGAGTCTTGAACATGCATAAATTGATATTTCTGTGGCTTCAACATCACCATTCAATATCCAAACCATAAGCATCCTTAAATTGTACCATTCGATACTTAATTAAAACACTTTTTGAAATTCTCATGACCTCTCACCATAATTGATTATCATTTTAATTAAATTTCGACCGGATAAAAATGTACAACAACGAAGGCAATCATTATGCAGAGAATTAAACTTCAAGATCTTAATTGATTTTCCATGTAATTAGCTTTGAGAGATTTTGTAGCACAAAACAACATTTATCGCACACAGAATGAAACATAAAGTAATTTAATAGAATTTTCTGCAACATTTGACAAACGAGAAAGGACGAGATTTGACATTTTCCTTACCTTAACTAAATATTAAAGGTTGAATTGTAATCCAAGTTAATCCATGTTTTTGTTCGAAATTTCTTTGAGAACTTTTCACAAATTTAAATGAACATTTACTGAGTGCTAGATTATGCTTTGCTTGATATGCTTGCGTGATAAGAAATAATTTCCTTCAAACTGAAGCAGCATCTTGAAAAGAAGATGAAAATGACATTAGAATGGTGATCAAAAGGAGACTTTACTATTACTGACAGACAACAATAGTCCCTAAGAAAAGCAATGATAATTTAGATAAAGAATGACTAAGAATCGTGAACTTCATTCTCTCCATGCAACTTTCATGTTTCGTTTATCAAAGCACCTCAGGAGAGTTTTGTTTGCTTCTGTCATTTTTATGACTTTAGAATTTTTTATGAAGAAAGTTTCTCGTGTGCTTCGATGCAATAAAGAAGCGAAAATATTCCAACATTATGAGCAATAAATTTCTGAAGCGGGATGTTGAAGCTCATGGGATATTTTATTAACTTGATGGTTTTCACGATACAAATAATATGTACGTTACTTATATTATTTCATGAGAATTTTCATTTCTTTAAATTTTTATCTGAAGGGGAGAAAGTGAGCAATTTTCTATGAAACTTTTAAATTGTCTCCGACATAAAATATCATTGCAAGTTTTTTTATCAAAAAATATTTTTCATCTTCCAAAAAAATGAAAAAAATGAACAATCAGAGCACGCAAAGCATCAAATAATCTTCAGTGAAACGTAAAAGTAATCTAGATTCCAAGCAGGACAATCGTAAAACTTCACTCCACACACTTTTACCAAAACATATGAAAAATTTATCTCGCTTTTCTCTTCCGAGCACTTTCCGGTATGATAAATGTTCATAAGATATTTTTCTTCCTTTTTTATGCTTTAAGATATTTTGTGACACGATATGTTGTATCCTTAAGTAAGAAGCAGTAGCAGGTAGCGTGTAACAAGAATTTATTGACACCTTAATTTAACTGCACAGCACCAAAGCGGATTTTTCTCCAATTTAATGCGGTTATTGGTTAAAGCACGAGCGAAATTTAAGCACTATTTAGCTTTTATTATATTCTTTTATTACAAATATATAAAAAGTTGTAATCAACTTGTTCACTAACGAATCACTTTGAAACTAATTTCGATGCCAGATTTTGAAAGGCTGCAATTTAATCCAATTGAATGTTGCGAAAACTAAAATAAATCCAAGTTCATTCAACCTCAAACCACTTTAAGTTCATACAAATTATTCAACAAATTTCAACACAGAAGTTTTCCTTCCTTCCGTTTCCGTTCACGAATGAAAACAAACTAAAGGACAAAAAATATTTCATTTCGCTCTTAGAGAAAATTTTGTTTGGTTGTTGAAGAGAATTCGACAACGAATCGGTTGGAATTAAATTTCACTCTCTTTCTCTCTTTTTCTTCTATCTCTCTCTCACTATTTTCATATTGAAAACAAAAATTTCATTCATAAATTTATTCGCTTTTTCATGATTCATGGTTAGATATTGAAACAAACATTTATGTTTTTCGCGGAGATTATTTTTAACAATAAATCATGAAAATTTCTCATAAATTTAAAAGCCATTTAATTGATTCATATTCTTAATAACGTTGTTGTGTAATTAAAGGGAAATATTTTGTCTTCATCGTAACAATTAAAAAGTTTTTTATTTATTTAATAATTTAGAATTTATAGAAATTGTCATCGGTTGTTCCTTTCATCAGACCATGTAAAATCCATTAGGAGAAATGGATTAATTTACATGCATGTGATGCCATCAGGTCAGACGAGTGAACGCTGAAAAATTATCACACATAAAGTAATTTTGTCACCCTCATGTTTGTTTGGTATAAAATTACGATTTTTATTCATCAAAATGTAAATAAATTCTTAAATTATTATTTGAGGTTGTTAGAAAAAGGGAGCTCATGACATTTAGATTTGTTTGTCAACTTTACATCTAATTATTGAGAGTCTTCGTCATCATTTTGATGATTTAATCTCGTGATGACACAAGAAAAATTGGTTTGTCGTTTCATTTTATTCGCTTGGATATTAATTTTGATTGTTCTTCGCAAGATTGATAAGCGAGTGAAATTATTTCCCTGAAGGATTTTTCATCTCGGATGAATAAAAAGACTTTCATCCCATCAATGTGGAAAATTGAGAATTATTTTGACACTTTCATGTTTCACCTCCAACATGACCCTCTTGCATCGTTCAGTAAAATTTTTGTCACTTCTAATTAAATTTGACAAATTTCCTTTTCGATCGAATTCGTTGCGTTCATTCATCTGAAATGTTTATGTTACTATAAAGAGTTTACTTTATGAGAATTCAGAACATGGAGATTGCAAGAGATGATTAATTATTTCCTCCAAATGGGAAACTGGCTACAAATAAACGAGTAACAATTTTCTCAAATTAACATCGATTTAACTCAATTTCTTTTTCCATTTGGTGTTCATTGATTGGCGAACAATTAGTTGTAATTGTTGTTTATTTATGGGAGGTTTTGTGCTTTTATTGAATCAGCAATGTAATTAGCTTACTTAAGCAGATTCAAATTCAATCTAAACAAATAAAAACTAAACTTCAAATCTTTTACTTTTAACATAAAATTTTATTTCTCAACAAAATCAACAAAATTAAACTTTCTTTACTTCCTAAATTTAAATTACCACTCATTCAATTTACTTCTATTAACTATACAAATAATTTAAATGCTTAAAAATATTTGATTAATAAAAGTTAACTTCATCACTTTCAACAAGGGAAACAACTTAGGAATGAATTGTTAATGTTTGAACTATGAATTTAATATTTCAAAAAGATTCTGAAGCCTTTTAAATTAAGACTAATGGTAAGCTATCACACTATTGATGGGCTAGAAAAAAGTCAATCTCTCCTAATTTCCCTTGAATATTTCAATAGTATTTCATGTTTTCAGCTGCCGATGCTTCGTCACTTATTTTCTCATAACTTTCCTGCATCAGATTCTGAACATTTGAAACCAACGAATCAATGTCTGACTTTATCATTCCTTTCGTGTTAACTTCCGGTAAAATTGAAATTATCGTTCGACCACGTCCAAAATATTTTCGTTTTGAATCTAAGTAAGTGTAACGTGAAACAACAATCGGCTGAATTGGACATTGAGCTTGAATTGCAACATGAAATGATCCTTTTTTGAATGGCAGAAGTGTTTCTGTTTAAAGATTAAATAAAATTATAAATTTGTAATGATTTTATTCTTATCAGAAACTCACCTGATGGATTTCGAGTTCCCTCAGGGAAGAATAAAATTTTTGACTGAAACATAAACAAAAAGTTAAAAAAAATTCAATTTCAATAGAAAATTCGAACCTTTCTCTCATTGATAGCTTTCGATTCTCTGTTAATGACATTTCTAGCTGATGTTTGGTTCTGTCGATTAATGAATAAAGTTCCCCACAAATAGCATGCGAGACCAAATGGAAACAAATAAAAAATTTCTTTCTTTGCGACTTGCGTGGCACGTCCAATGACTGGCCATAATTTTCCCAGCACTGAAGCATGTAAAAGGAACATTAATGTTAATAATTAATCAGAAAAGATTGACTTCTTTTTTGTTTTTAAATAAAACGTCATCAAGAGTTAATGCGAGGTCACTTTCTCACCTATTAAGTCGATTGCACTTTGATGATTTATGAGCACGACACCTCCAGAGTCGCGATTGATATTTTCCAAGCCACGAATTTCATACGACGCGCCTATCAGCTGTCCAACCTTTACAATGCACCATGCTGGTATCCTGATGAAACAAAGCATTAAACAATAAGTGATGTTGTGGTTGAACATTTATGAAAATTATACACGACGACAGGAAAAATCGTAATTAATAATTCAACGTCACGATGGAAAATTATTTTCCTTCTTTTATTTACTGCATGATTACGATTTGAGTAAAGCAAATAATTGACATTACATTTTGAGAATAGAAATAAACATTTTGGGAATCGAATGTAAATATTATTAATGTTCATTGTCCTACATTAATCCAAACATTTTTTTATTTCCGAGTTCATTAAATTATTGATAATGCCCGGTAAACCATATGTCGAGAACATTAACGCGTCGAATATCAATTACAAAATGCAGACATTAATCAATGTCATTGTGATGTACATAAATTATGAAAATGTTAATTTTCTAAATTTTTGAGGTAATAAAATAAATAAATTAATACTCACAATGCGTTTCGGTAGTCTCTTGGTCGTGGCAACATCAAAGGAATAGGTAAAACAGCCGCAAAAAGTGCTGACACTATAAACACGATCATTTTCGTGTAATATTGAACACGATTTGAAATGGAACAAAATATTAAGGCGACTATGGCGAGTCCTATGAATTCATAAAACGAACACGCCATCTGAAAGAAATTTAAATCATAATTACATTTTAAGTATGTAACATTCATTTAAAACTTCTAATTGATTTTTACGTTTATTAATTATTATTCAAGTGCTGAGGTAGGCAAGCAAATCATTTATTTTTTGAAGTCATTAAAGAATTGCGCATTGATAATGTCACCTAACCAGATAAGTAACAGAATTGCTGTAAGAAAATTATTTGCTTACTTGCCTGACGATATGAAATCACGACTTACGTAAAAAATTATCTTTCAAGTTATTTGTTATGATACTTTGAACGTTAAACGTGTTTGAATGAAACTTTGTTCAAATAAATCCCCGCAGCACTAACAACAAAGCATTTCTTAGTTAATTATCTACATGTAACAACTTTATCGTGTTTGGCTTTCAATTTCTTTCCAACCTTGAATTTCACTTAAATATTTTCTCAAAAATTACTTTTTGCTCGTCTTTGTATAACAATTTTTAGCAATTATAAATAACAATTCGCAAATTGAATTATTTTGCAATCTTATCATTATTCTAATCTATGGCCTTGCCTTTAAAATGTATTCGTATGACGATTTGCGGAAAAAATGATTAAACTTTGAATTGAGTAGATAACTAAGTTACATTAATGCTTAAAAGTTTTAATTTAATAATTTATTTAATGTTTGGATTTTTATCACGAATTTTAATCACGCGACTGAAACACGAGACACTGTTGCAAACAATAAGTTTAAACTTTGAAGTTTCATCGAAATTGAACTCGAGTAGAAATTTAATTGACTCATTGATAGAACTTTTCTTTAGATTTTTTCACCTTTTAAGCATACCAGGAAAAACAATCATATTAATTGATGACCTTTAATTAATAATTCTAAACCCGAATGTGTCAATTTGTGACAATAAATCTCATAATCGTCTGGTTTATTGTATCAGTGATTAAGTATTTCGTAAATGTTATCAACAAGTGGATTGTTTTACGAGCTATTTCCAATGCTTCGATAGGAAATCCGTACAAGAAATTACGTTAAAAGTTCTTTTTATTACTGGCATGGCGACAAAAATTTTACTAGACATTCCAAATATAGAAGAGTCGAACGAGAACAACGTAAAAATGAACGCAATGTTTATGGATGTTTATGCAGTTCAACAAGGCTATTAACAAAAGAAGATAAAGGAAGCAAGAAAATTTATTATCATATCTTTTATGACTGTCAACATTAATTTCCATTTATTTTCTAAGCTGTTTTGATTTAAAAAATTTTATGCTGCTTTAAGTAAAGCAACGCACATTCCAAACTTTTCTTATCGCACATTTTATCATCAAAAAAAGAAGATTATTGTGGCAGAAAAAAAAAGATTCGCAGAGTATCCGTAAATATTGTTAAAATCTCGATGAGATTATAAGAAAAGATTAAAAAGTTCAAGTCATAAAGTTCACGTGAACTTTAAATGTGAAAAAATCGTCGATTTCATCTTATTCACGTTCTGTTAGCAGAATATCTAATAATCTTGTACATAGCAGAGAATATCAATAAAATTCATTCACTTTTCCGCCCGATATAAATTATTCATCACATCACGTAGATACATACAACCGGCTTCAACTTAAAGAACAAATTTCGTTGTTTTTCTTTTCAAGGAAAATTTATCGATTTTTCCGATTTCATGACATGAAAATTTGTTTTCAGATGAAAATCACTTAAAAGTTTAAAAGTTTTTTAATAATTTTCCAAGCCATTCAATTGAAAATATTGCAGCATCTTTATGAGTTTTGAAACCAAGACAATAGAATGGTTTAATTAAATATAATTGAACTAAACATCATTTATTTATGTGAATGTAAAATTCATTCTCATTGCTAATGCATGATATTTTTATATTTATACCAGCATGCACTTCTATTCTCACTTTTGCTAAATTATTTAACTCTAACTCATTGATTGCTTTTTATTTTCCTTATTTATAATTTTCATGAGAGAAAAATTGAATTTTCTTTCATAATTTTACCTTTTAATATTACGAGACCGAACTCACAAAGCGTACACCACGAAGTTCAAATAAATACTGAGACGGTTTTAAAGCATTCGAGAACTTCCCTTAAATAATTTACATTACGAACACTAGTAGAACTTTAACAAAACTGAACTTAATTTGTTAAACTGTTCTTATCATCGCCGGCTGAGTGGTCTACTCACTGCTTGCTCGACTCAGTAACTTTAAACTCTCTTGATAATGTTTCATTGATGTTGAGCGAAGACAGTTTTCCTCTAAGTTTGTCCGGGATACGAAATGAATGAATGTGTCTTCAATAGATTAAATTCAAATTTTTTCCGTTAAAACTTGCAATATAAAAATTAGAGCTTTCAATTTTCCTACCTAAGAAACTGAAAATGGGAAAATTAAGAATGGGAAAACGAATTTTAGGGGGAGAATGGGAAATAACAGAAGAAATAGGAAGCATGAAAACTTTAAAAATTTTAATATAGGTACCTATTTATTTGAAAATATGATTTATCTATTTGGATTTACGAATATAATGTATGTACCCATGAAACAAAAACTGGTTTTTAATTTATTGTTTTCAAGATCAAATATCAAGAGAAATTGTAAACATCTCCAAAAATGTCTGATAATCCCCTGAAAATCTGTTTGAAAAAGCTTTTAACTTGATATTAACATAAATTTGAAGCTTAATTTATTGGACATGTAACGAAAGTTTCGAACATTAATTTGCGAAATGGAATTCTTTAATTTCAATTTTAGGATATTTATTAGTTATGTTGAATGGTAAAATTATAAATCATTATCACTTGCTAGTAAAAAAAACTTTTTCGTGTCTAAAAATTTTTATAACAAGAAGTGTTGAAGTGTATTTTCAGACATTTTAGGAATCAGTGAAAAAAAAACTAGCAAATAACATGATAGAAAAATATTAATCAAATAAGATCATGAAATGACAAAATCTTCTGGAAATGAACCTTCTGGAGACTCTTCTGAAAATTCTGGAGTATCATCAAAAATTCCGGAAGTGTCAACTTCTGGAGTCTCTTGCGCACAAGTGTCAGTTAAATTACTAGGAATGTTGAAGGAGATTTTACCCTTTTTCGCTAGTTTCGATTTAGAATAAGAAAATTGGAGTTTTTTTAAAATAAATATCAATAAATATATACTAACTTGTGTCATAATAATCCATACATTGAATTGTTCCGTCTTTAGGATTTCTAACAATGCTTTCTTGTATGGAATCTATCATGAAACAGGTTGGGTAAGATCCCAAAGGGTCGAGATAAACCAAAACAGTAGTATCATCATTTTTAGTTTCCAAGAGCTTAAAAATTAAAAAAAAATCATAAGAACAATAAGAAGAAATAATTTAATATACAAATTTACTTTGACAGCAGGCGATTGTATTGTATTACGATTGTATTTAAAACCAGAAATTAGCGAAATTGTAACCAGAACAACGTCAGATTTTTCGCTATCTAAAGGAATATACCTTAAACAAATTTCTGAGCTAAAGTAGATACCACATTTTTTTAAAAAAAGGTGAGATATGTTGAATCTTGGTAGCGTTTCTTCTTGAATTTCGTAGAAGGTATATGTTAATGAAACTAGTGCTGTTCCTATTGATTCTTCGAAAGATGAAATATTTAGTTGCCNGATAAACAAAAACAGTAGTATCATCATTTTTAGTTTCCAATCGCTATAACATTAAAAAAAATCATAAAAACATAATAAGAAGAATTAATTTAATATACAAATTTACTTTGATAGCAGGCGATTGTATTGTATTACGATTGTATTTAAAACCAGAACTTAGCGAAATTGTAACCAGAGCAACGTCAGATTTTTGATCGCTCTCTGACGGAATATAACTTAAACAAATTTTTGAGCTCAAATAGTTACCACATGATTTAATGAAAATGTGAGATATGTTGAATGGTGATAACGTTTCTTCTTGAATTTCGTAGAAGGTATATGTTAATGAAACTAGTGCTGTTCCTATTGATTCTTCGAAAGATGAAATATTTAGTTGCCGCGCAAGATTATCCAAAGTAAATGTTTGAATGCTTAGCTTGTCGTGCTGATCTACTGTGACTTTAAGCTTAGAACCGAGATCAGGTGATAGTTGAAGCCTCATTGACGAGGTTTCCTCATTCATTGGAGAATCTTCTGCAACTTTAGTTTTGACAGCAAACTCAGCTAATGCACCTAAAGCAACAACAGTGTCTTGACTTGACTCAAATCCCCCGTATGAATTCTTATGAGAAATAAGATATTTAACGATTTTTGTAGCTTTTCCCAGGTCAATGTGCTGAACAAGTAACAATGCATAAGCTGTCATTTCAATGTCACTTGAATAAACTTGCGAGTTCCAATCCCAATCTTGGCTGTCATCATCGTTAGCGTAAATTTCTTTCCAATACAACTCATCACTTGTTTCACTACCTTTCGTTAAAAGATGCTGATAAAATAATTGATAAGCATCATATCCACCCAAATAAAGTGCATATGTAGAAATAGCTAGGGAATATGCATTTACAGAATCAATACTGTTATTAATATAATTTTGTATGTAATTCAATGCCTTGTTTCTAGCCAGCTCATAAGAAGGATATTCAATTAAATTTTTAGAAAGGAGAATAGATATGTATGCTGTCATTGCAAGAGTTCCGCTTGACGATCCTTGTAACCTTTTAATATGAACTTTGCCATCCTCTCGAAAACTTCCATCTTCATTTTGCTTACTGCGTAAAAATGTAATTGCTTTAGAAATGACATTATCATCAATTGTGATGTAATGTTTTGCTTCTAAGAATGATTTCACAACATATGCAGTCAACCATGTGCTTCCAGAAGGATCAAATTTTCCATAGACTGAGAAAGATCCATCACTTCTACGATATTTTAGTTCTTGTTCGTATCCACGTTGTGCGAATTGTATAGCTTTCAATCTTATTGTTGTTGCAAGCTGGTTTGTAACATTCAAATAGTTTAATGCAATAATATTTGGAACAAATTCAAGCATATTTTGTTCGCCACATCCAGTAGGCATTTTTATCAGTTTCTCCAAATTGTTAAACGAATGGCCCATTATATCACCCACAACCTTAATCTCTACTGAAACAGTATCTAGAGAAATATTGGACGGCAACATAAAAGCAAGAGAAGTTTCATAGTCAAAGCTTGCAACAGGTTCAGTTTTCACCAACAACACAGATTTTGTAATAGATTTTTGGATACCTTCAGGGATAACTTTTACTGTTTTCAAAATTTTATCACCAGCCCAAAAACCAGAAGCTTGTATACTAAAATCAATATAACCCAGAATGAGAGGGCGAATCACTATTCGTAGCTTCGTATGATTGTTGGATGCAGAAATTAGGGTACGTATTTATTCGTGTTTTTCAGGGTAACGAATATTCGCCGAATATTTTTTTAACTCTTTTAATATTCGCCGAATAGCGAATAATTATTCGTTATTGTTTTTTTCTTTAAAAATTCAGAAACATCTGAATATTTATA